CCAAATCCACTCTCTTTGCTGCCTGGTGTGACCTAGTTTCACTGAAAGGTTGGGGACCTGGCTCCTGTCAGAAAAACCACTTTCCACTCTCAACCTACTCCTGGGACGAAAAGCTCTATGGCTGGGATGCCACCACACAGCCACCTAAGTCTCCATCTCCATCTATCACTAACTGGCCACTCACCCCCAGAATGTTTGCTTCTTGGTACAATATGGAGACCACAAGTTTTGGGCACTGAACCCAGGGCCTTTTCACTAGCTACATACTCACCTCTTTATTGATATTTTTATTTTGCGACAACATCTCACTAAGCCAGTAGGTTGCCCAGCCTGGGCTGGAATACGCAATCTCCTGCCTCAGCCTCCCAGAGCGCTTGGATTCCTAGTGCCTGCCTTCCTCGGGGCATCTTCAGGGGCCCTGCTCATTCTCCACCTGGGGCTCCTGAACACCTGGTGTGGAGAGGAAGGCAGAGAAATGGCTGACCGTAAGGAGCACAGTGTTTGAGCCTTGAGGGTTGGCAGTGCCAGGCACTTCGCTGAGTCCTTGATAATCCACTTAACCTTCTGAGCAACTCGCAGGCGCCCCTAATACTCATTCCAAAGATAAGGCAAGGGCGGCACATGGGAATCAATGCTAAGTCATTCAGCCTCTCAGTGCTACAGCTGGGATTTGAGCCTGGGCAGCCTGGTTACAGAGTCCACGCTCTAACCAGTAAACTACAAGGAAATACAAAGACACAAAAGCCAAGATCTAATAACCAAGTCCCTCTCGGAGAAGAAAAGAAAGAGTTCATATTTCTCTGGCATTCATTACCTCCCCCGCCTCCACTAAGCAGGCCCTTTTCTTGATTAGTCAGTATCCCACACACACACCCCTTTTTACACTGGAAATCCTTCCCCTTTGGCACAGCGCAGACTCATGCTTTCTAAAGAGCTTCTGGCTATGAGATCAGCCCAGCCCATTGTGTAAACTGGAGGTCTATCAAACCTGACCCAGGGCTGCTCATACATCCAGCTCTGCTTCTGCTGGACTGGATCGCCCTAGTGCAACAGGACCTCCCTGAGTACCTGTGTGCCCAGCCCCAAGCCCAGAGCTACACCCTGACCTCACGGTGCAGAGTTCAAAAGGAAAAAGGAGCTATGTAAATAGATCTCTAGGATACGCTGGGCAGTACTAAAATTAGAGGTGTGTGTCCTGTGGTGTGAGGACGCCTGTGTGAGAATACCTTGCCCACGGGCAGGAAGAAAAGGTTAAGTACCCATGCTGAACCATTCCACATGGCTGTGCAGGAAAAAGCCAGGAGTACTGCAGTGAGGAGACCAGGGAACCCAGGCCCGGCTGCTGAGTGACCTGAATCTCTTATTCATCTTATTCCCATTCACTCACAGACTGCTCTTTCCCTTGTTCAACTCCTTTTTGACCCTCTGATGGCATGAAGGGGTCTGTCTTGGTACCAACTTGTGTCTAAGCAGAAGGCAGGCATTGGCGTCATAAACTCTGTATCCCTCACACCAGGAATCCTAACTGGCTCATCTTCCCTGTACTGTATTACTTCAGTGGTTATCTGTTCATTATGATTAGAGGTACTGGCTTCCCATCAGTAGTAGTGATAGAAAACCCCCTTTTAAATATCAATCTAAATTTGAGAATTAAATCAGTTTAAGAAATATGTTAAACAGGCCAAGTACGGTGGTGCATGCCTGTAATCCCAGCACTCAAGAGCCTGAGGCAAGAGGATCACTGCAAGTCTGCGCTACATAGTCAGTTTAAGGCCAGCCAGGGCCCTGGGCTACAGAGTAAGACCCTATTTCAAGAAAGAGAGAGAGGAAAAAAGAAAGATTACATATTATAATGGGCATTACCTCTATATGTGATTTAACATCAAAAAAACTTTAGGACTGGGGACACTTAGACATACATGAGGCCCTAGGTTCAATCCCCAGCATCACAAAATATAATTTAAAATGCCTATGCAAAAAGAAGCAACATTATTCTATGCCACCAGATGTTCTGGTGACATTGTCCCCACTGGGAAGGAGCAGGAACTGAAAAGTGCACAAGAAGACTTTCAGCTTCCACTGTCCATTTTGCTGGATGACCTGGGGGCTTTTAAAAACTCACAGAGCCATTATGTTAGGCGAATTCCTGTATTAAGTTATATATTCATACAGTCTTTAACCCAACAATTCCACCAGTACAACTTACCTACAGACATACACATATACATAAAATGAGAAAAACCTACTGTATCACCTACAGTAGCAAAAGATCAGAAACAACCTAAGAATGACCCAGCTGGAGCTAGATTAAATAAATTTTGGTATAGTCTAGAATGAAGTCTACGCAGTCATCAAACCAGATGAGGCAGGCCCTGGAGGATTTTGCAAGGATTTAAAGGAAAAGGGGGCTGGATATATGTGTGTACAGTGTGCTATGTTAAGTGAAAAAAAAAGAATATATACTATATCTACACGTTTGTGCCCAAGGCATCCCTGGCCTAAGTTATCTCAAGAAAATATCACAAAAAAATTGTAATAGAAGACCCTCTGGGCATGGCAAGTGGGGGGCATCTCTGAACCTTTTCCACTTCTGTAGTGCATGCTATGTGCATGCATTTTCTATCAGTAATACTTTTGCAGGAAAATCCACACAGGTACCTGGCTATGATAAATCTTACAGCCCCTCCAAACCTAAAGGCAGAAATGAAATGGGCTTATAAAGCAAGTAACAGGTACCCTGCCCACCTTTTGCCCGTATACTGTATAACACCCAGGGAAAGTGCTTACCTGTAAACGGTTTCCAATTAACAACAGTAAACCCGGTCCAGAACAAATTATCTAACTCACACTGAGCCTCTGCCCTGCAGCCAAACAAACCATGGCACCTGGAGCTTCCCTGCCAGGTTGGCTGAGTTCCTGGCATGGATGAGGAGATATTCAAGCAGAAATTCTCCCAAGGATAGGAGTGAGGCAACTTCAGCTGACTGAATCAGCTCTGCCCCAAAAGAAGCAAAGCAAGGGTCAAGAGTTGGGCTTCTCTGGGGGCTGCAAAAGGCAATGACAGCACAAGGCTTTGGAAATTGGAGTTTGGTTTTATCTAACTGCATATATTTAACCTGTACATAAAACTCTTCTCATTCACTCTCTTGCCATGTTATTAATCCTAAGGAACACTCTGGCGAGGTGCAGGGCAGGGTATCACTTTCTTACAGATGAGGAAATGAAGGTGTGGGGAAGTGAAGAGACCAGCCAGCATTACACACCAAGCGCAAGAGGGAAGCAGGAAACAGAACCCCTGCCTTCCTACCCAGCAGCCTTGACCTTTGCTTTCAACCCTGACCCCTGAAAGGAGACCTCACCAGCCAGACAGGGCAGGCAAGGACTCTCTGGGACTCACGGGGTCAATGAGACCTTCTAGTGCAGCAGTTTTCAATCCTCTCTGCACATTAGATACCTAGGAAGCTTAAGTAAATTTGAAAAAATACTTATGCTAGAGCACAGGAATCTGTAGTGTTTTTAAAACCTCTCTGATTGGTTCTGATGCAACTTTGCATGAGAAGCCCTGAGTTCCCAGCACCCATCCCCAGTCTCACATATTGTATAACCTTTGGCCTTCCTGCAACCTCCACCATTGGTCCCCGCCATCCTCCAGCCCCCAAATGTACTGCTTATTTATATTCAAAGTTACCTTGAGGCAGAGAATTGGACTGGAAGCTCACTAAACTCTTCTAGTAGAAAAGTCACCTAACAGTTCTGAGGCCCAAAACAGAGATGTGATTTGGCTAAGATAACCCAGTGGATCAGTAAGGGAGCAGGACCAAAATCAGGATTTCCTGACCAACAGCAAGGGTCATGTCCACAAAGGGATTCAGTGGAGGGCAGTCCCTTGGGAAACCCAACTGCTCCAGACACCAGAAGAGATCCACTGAGGGGCTCAGGAGGAAACTAGGACAAAGTGTGTGTGTTCCAGGGGACACAGGGTATCAGTGACACCCTAGCTAGAGCCTCTAGAAGTCCACTCTTGTGTCATACCAGGTGCAGAGAGTGTTCCTGAGGAACAGGGGTGGGGCTGGCCTACCGAAAGATGTCCTCATTCCTCTGCGAAGGCCAGAGGATCTAAAATGTCATTACCGAAATTCAGGGACAGCCTACATCACATGGGTCCAGGTTCCCCACCCACAACACTGGCTCAGATTTCTTGAGGTTTCGCTGGTCCCTGTGCTAAGCACTGTATGCGACCTAATCATTTAATTGCCACTTGCACCCTGAAATGTGAAGATAATTACTGTCTCCACTTGCAATTAAGAAAACTGTAGCCCAGAGACAGGAAAGGATTTCCCCAAAATCGCTCAGTGAGAAAGTGGCAGCCTCAGAATTGGAAACCTAGACTATTCAAATCCAACTACTAGCATCCTGCTCCTCAGCAAGGTGAGGAGAGGAGAGCCCAGTAACAGCGGAAGTCGCAACTGGACACCTAGGAGTGGCCAGAGACACGGTCTAGAGGAATCCTCCACCTACGAAGAAAGCACAGGCATCCTTCTTCCACCACACAGGAAACCAAGACGTAGGGGGCAGCATCTTGCCCAGAGACATGAGCAAAGTAGTGGCGGGGATCAGGCTGGTCCCCATCACAAAGTCAGGCCACTTCGCGGCTGGCTGGCAGGGAAGCAAACTCAGCAACAACCTGTAGGCCGGGGGGCGCGGCTGACACCGTAACCACGGCCTGCCCTGCCCGCGCGCAAAGTACTGTACCCTACGCCAGTTCCACACAGGTGAGCTACGTGGCACTCGGTGGGCACCAGACTCTCAACCGTCCCCATGAGACAGATGAAATTCGTGCTGAGCGGGGACCGCCAGAATTTCCCTAGGAGAGCAGGGCGGGCGCCCCGCGTCCTCTGGAGAGCGGCTAAGTCTGAATTAGCCCCCGGCACGGCGTGGGGGCCATCGAGGGACCCTATCCCACCCCGCACCCCGTTCTCAGGCCTTGCGGGGTCACTCACCCAGAACACTGTGGAATAGATGACGAGCGAGAACTTGAGCCAGAGGTAGGAGAAGCGCGCGCAGTAGCGCACCTGCTCCGAGTCCCCGCGGGGCATCTTGGCTCGAGGCCCCACCTGTGGTCGCCGGCGGTGCGCCCCGTCGCCCGTGCGGGCGCCCCAACTGAAGCCAGCGAGCGGCAATCACGGCCCCGCCCGGGAGCCCGCAGCCCCGGCGGCCAATCGCAGCGAGGCGGCGGCACAGGCTCGGGAGGGGGCGGGGCCTGGCGGGGCGGGGCTGTCGCTCCGGACCCGAGAGGAGACCGAGCGGAGGGGCGAGGTTTAGGAGGCTGCTCCCGCCGTAACCCTGAAACTGCTTGAGCTCCCGGCGGCGCGGAGGGAGGCTTGGGAGGGCGCTGAGCAGAGGTGTGCTGCAAGAGAGCGCGTGCCTGATCTGGATAGCAGGAGGGCAGGCTTGGGGGGCTAGAGCTGTACTTGGTGGTGCGGGGCTGACAGAAGACCCTGGCTCCACCCTCAGTACCAGGGCGGGATAAGGGGGAAGAAAAAGGAGCAGGCCTTCCATTGTTATCAAAAGACTATGGGAAAGGGGCAGGAATTAACCGCCCAGATTTAAAGGTGCAAATGAGTGTGAAGACGGGAGTGTAATAAACTGGGATCGCCAGCCTGAGGAGGGGTGGGGTCTTGCCTCCAGGAAGTCCAGGACAGAGCCTAGTGGTCGCTAGGAAGCCTCAGTCGCTCCTGGGACAAATCCGCACCGGCTTTCCCACTACTGATCCTGGAAGTCCCCTTCTTGGAGGCCTAGTTCAGCCCTGCCCCTAGGGCTTCTTCCGCCTGAAAAATCCCCCCCCACCCCCACCCCATCCTCAGGCTCAGGGGGAGCTCCCTGCTTTCCAATAGCTGGCTGTGACCTTGTCTCTTCCGGCCTGGCCTCTCTTGTGCCTGGCATCAGAGGTGGCTGTGAGTCTGCCTTCCGCACTAGCTGGTCCCAGCTTCACTCACTGCTGTTTTCCGGTCCCTCAGGCCTAGCTGGCCTTGGGAGGCAGGCAATCCATCCGTTTGTGCCACACAGTAATTATATGCATGACCCAGAGGTCACGGTTGGAACAGTGCTGGGTGGGGTCCCTGGTGGTGACTCCAGGAATGACAGCTTCTCCAGTCCCCTGCTTTGGGCTCCCAGTTCTCCTGCATAAGCTCAGAGAGACAGAGACCGATCGGCTATGCTAGCGGAGGAAGACATTACATTAGAGGTGTGAGAGTGGGATGGGACATGTCCTGCCAGTTAGGGCAAAAAGAAAACTTCCTGGCACAGGAGGAGCATGTCCTGCCAAGGGCACCCAGGGGCTGATGCAAGTTATTTTCAGGTGAATGAGGGTGACCTAAGAAGACATTTTAGCATCACGTTGAAAGTTGTCATTTCTGTCCTTTGGGGAGGAAGACTGAGCCTCCCTTGCCTCTGAGGTGCTGATTTCTGACCCCTCCCTAGAAGCCTGTAGTCCTCTACTACCCTGCTTCCCCAGTCAGAACTAGGCCCCAGCTCCAGCTACCCTTGTGTCCTCCACCCGGGTTTTCCTTCCTGTCGCCTTTTCTCTGGCCTTGCCATACCCCTTCCCCATGATGCACAGCTTCCAAAAGGACACTTAATGATTCTCTTGTAGGATGCCCAGAGGGCTCAGGGTAAGATGCCCCTGATGAGGGAGATGGAGCTCCTTCATTGTATCTCTCTACCCACATCTGCAACCCCAAATAGCAGGCACTTGAGCCATGTTTGCAAACACAGAGACCTCAGAAGAAATGGTTCTGTTTTGCACTTTTCCCTTCTTTGTCCAAGAGCTTTGATATGCTATCCATTATCTTTTTGTGGGATTGTTACAATAATGATATAGTGTGACATATGGCAGATTAGAATCACCTGGTAAATTTTAAATGTATTTTGAGCTGAGTGTGGTGACACATGCCTGTCATCTCAGAAGGCTAAGGCAAAGGCCTCACAAGCCCAGCCTGAGCAACCGAGCGAGACTGTGTCTCGAAATAAAAAATTTAAAAGAACTGGAGATGTAGCTCAGTGTGAAGCTCCTGGGGCTTCAATCCTCAGCACCCTCAAAAAAAAATCCCAGCACTCAAGAGGTTGAGGTAGAAGCACTGCCATGAGTTCAACGACAGCCCAGGCTACCTAGTGAGTTCAAGGCTAGCCTGGAATACAGTGAAACCCTGTCTTGAAAAGCAAACAACAAAATGTATCAGATATTCAAGTGCAGTCCCAGTCCAGTTGGAATCTCACCAATAGAGACCTGAGAGTCAGTATTAACTCCATGTTCCCGAGTAATTTCTAAACTGCAGCCAGGATTAAGCATCAGTGTGTACAGGCAGTCAGGAGAGTAAGGTAGTCTGGCAACATTTTATAAGAAAGCCACGCCCTAGAGAGGTCACTGACTCAGCTCTCCACTGGTATCCTGAAAATTGTAAAACTGGCTAGGAGTGGGGAAAAGACATTAATGACTTCCACAGTGTGGATAGTTCATCACCTAATTTTAAGTTACCAACACGCATTCCATGAACCTGAGAGTTCAGTATCCCAAGCTTATCTGCGTCTCAATCCACCCCTGTGCTTTACTGATTAGTATAATTAGTGCGTTGGTGAAGCCCTCTGTTATTAATTAACATAACAGGTATTAGAAATGGGCTCTTCTTTGGTAAAATTAATAGTGTCCAAGGTACAATAGACTATCTAAAATACAGTATAGACACCACCCATTCCTTGTTCAGTCAGAGTAGAAGACTTGGGAAGCAGGTTGTTTCCACTTGGAGATGGTGCACAGGCTAAATCCACAAAGGCTTCTGCCCTTCAGATGTGAGCAGACCTTTCCTTGAGCAGACGTTTCCTGCAGGATGGTAGAGCTCTTAACAGATCAGAGAACTAGGCCTTCAGTGATTTTGCAGAGAAAAGTATACAAACCAGTTTTGTGACTGCATGCTAATAAAAGTTTGTTTTCTAGACATTTTTATGGGCAGCAGACTGTGTTCTGAGATCTGTTCTCATGATAATTTGGCAGAGACATCTAGGGGGAAATAACCCTTGCCTTTAATGGCTAACATGACTGATGGGAAATAATCTAGAGATCATGAATGACAGCTTGCTTGGGTACATTTGCATTCATGCAATCTAGCACATAAGTCTCTCTGTGCCTCTGTTTCCCCACCTATGAAACAATGGGGTTGAAATGATTCTATTCCATCTCTGAGCAGTGTAGCTATAATCTTCACAGCCAGTAAGTCAGTTGGAAAAATACATTGTGCTTCTACTCTCAGTCAAGTGCTGCTCAGGCTCGAGGGTACAGCTTCAAACAAGGTAGACAAGAGTTCCTATTCTATTAGGGCATCAAGGTTAAGGGACATGCAGCACAAGATACACACATATGACATGGTGACTGCAGATCCTGGAGCATGCTAAGGATTGAGAGAAGAGCTGTTAGGAGGAAGAAACAGCAAGTGCAAAGGCCACATGACAGGAAAGCCTGGGAGGGGTCCCTGTGGCTACCCAAGGGGCCAAGGGCATCACAGAAGGAGGCAGGCAGCCGACAGAGGGGAAAGCATTGTAGCTTCAATAAAGAAGTTCGGCTTATTTTCAGTTTCAGGACCTAAGCAGGGAAGTGAATCTGATTTGTGCCTTGGAATAGGAGGGCTGAGAGGCTGAAGGGGAGGAAGAAGTCTGGCTAGGAGGCTGGGGCACCAGTCCCAGTGCAAGGAGGCTTGGGCTTGGACGACAGTAAAGCCCTGGGAATGGGAGGTGGCTGGGTCAGGGTACAGAGTAGAAGTGGAGCTTGACTTCTAAACAGACTGGATGTGGCAAAAAAAAAAAAAAGAAAAGAAAAGAAATCTGCAGAGATCACAAGCTTTTTTTTGCCTTGAGCAAATAGGTATTTCTGTCAAATACAAAGGTAAGGAGATAAGACTGGAGGAGAAAGGATGGATCAAAAATGTCTTTCTTGGGGTATTTACCTATTCATTTATTTTTGTGATGTTGAGACTTGAAACCAGGCAGGACTGAGCTACTTCCCCAACCCTATTTTAGTTTTTGAGATTTTTTTTAAACCTAGGTGGAGCTGTGTAGGAACCTCAGAGGTGCGCTTTGGTTGGATGGTGTAGATTGGAGAGTCCTCAGATCCATGTGAACCTTGGGCCTCCGGGAGATCATCTCATTAGAGAGTAGAGCAAGCCAAGAGCCACAGACAGTGTCTGTGACTCCCTTATCCCATCTGAAGGAAGAGGGGCCAGTAGAGAAGATGGAAAAGACTCAGTTAGTGAGGTCTCCTGCATGCCTGGAGAAGCTGGAAGAGAAGTGGAAGAGGATTTGGTGTCCTGAGAACTCCCCTTCGCACTCAAAGGCTTCTACCATGTCCAGAGAGATCGGGTACAGGAGGAGAGAGAATCAGTCCCTGGGTTTGCAGGATGTGGGTTTTTGATGACTTCATAAGAACTATTTTAGTGGAGCACTGGAGGATTCAGACTTACTAGAATAAGTTGAGGATAGGCCAGATGTGGTGACACACGCCTGTAATTCCAAAACATGGGAGGCTGAAGCAAAAAGGTCACCAGGAGCCCGAGGCTGGCCTGGAGAAGTGTGTTCAAGGTCAACCTGAACTACATAACAAGACTTTGTATCAGAGAGAGACAGAGAAGGAAAGGAGAATAGGATGAGGAAAGGAAAGCTGAGAAATGGTGGCCCAGAGAAGCCCACTTTGAGTAACTCTAATTCAAAAATCAAAAATCAAAAATTCTGTCTCAAGCCTGACATCACAAGTAGAAAATTCCACACTTGGCTTCATGTGACATGTAATGGTTAAAACACAGTACACTACAATTATTGCATAAAGTTACCTGCAGCCAGTGCATACCAGGTATATGTGAATTATAAATAAGTCTTGTATTTAGATCCCTAACATATGTCATCATGTGTATGAAAATATTCTAAAATCCAAATCACTTTTGGTCCCAAATACTCTGGATAAGAAGAAAATGCATTTTTATAGACTCACAAGCAGGTGTGAAGCTATGGGGTTCATACAGGGAATTCTTCCCAACCTACCAATGACATAAGAGTTAGTAACAATTATGACGGAGATTCCAAAGGTCATGAATTGTCTTCTTGGCAGGGCTTCTGCCAAGCAGTAGAATCTGTTTCCATACTCTTGAATCTATGCCAGCTT